GGGGACACGCAGGGACACGTGGGGACATGTGGGGATGTGTGGGGATGTGTGGGGATGTGTGGGGATGTGTGGGGACACATGGGGACATGTGGGGACATGTGGGGAAAAGCGGGGACATGTGGGGATGTGTGGGGACATGTGGGGACACGTGGGGACACGTGGGGACATGTGGAGATGTGTGGGGATGTGTGGGGATGCATGGGGACATGCGGGGACACGCGGGGACACATGGGGATATGGGGGGACATGTGGGGATGCATGGGGACACATGGGGACACGTGGGGACATGGGGACACGTGGGGACATGCGGGGACATGTGGGGACACATAGGGGCATGTGGGGATGCGTGGGGACACGTGGGGACATGTAGGGACACGTGGGGACATGCGGGGACACGTGGGGACATGTGGGGACATGTGGGGATGCGTGGGGACACGTGGGGACATGTAGGGACACGTGGGGACATGCGGGGACATGCGGGGACACGTGGGGACATGTGGGGACATGTGGGGACATGCGGGGATGCATGGGGACATGTGGGGACATGCAGGGACATGCGGGGACACGTGGGGACATGGGGACACGAGGGGACATGCGGGGACACGTGGGGACATGCAGGGACATGCGGGGACATGCGGGGACACATAGGGACATGTGGGGATGCGTGGGGACACATGGGGACATGCGGGGACACGCAGCCGTGGGCAGAGCCCCGCGCGTCCCGCCCGCGCCGCCACGCACCAGTTGTGACAGTGCCCGCGGGCCACCTGCCCCGGGCGCAGCTCCAGGGTGCCGGTGTCCCCGGGGCGCCCGCAGCGGCACTCGCCCAGCGGCACGCAGGCGCCGTCCTGCAGGAGCTGGCCCGCCGGGCAGCGGCACCCTGCGGGGCGGCGTGAGGAGCGCGGGCACCCATGGGTGCTCCCCGCGCCCCGGGCACCCCCTGCTGCGGCTGTGCAGAGCATGGTGCACCCATGGGTGCTCCCCGCGCCGCGGGCACCCCCGGCTGTGGCTATGCAGAGCATGGTGCACCCATGGGTGCTCCCCGCGCCCCGGGCACCCCCGGCTGTGGCTATGCAGAGCATGGTGCACCCCTGGGTGCTCCCTGCGCCCCGAGCACCCCGAGCACCCCCGGCTGGGGCTGTGCAGAGCACGGTGCACCCATGGGTGCTCCCCGCGCCGCGGGCACCCCCGGCTGTGGCTATGCAGAGCACGGTGCACCCCTGGGTGCTCCCTGCGCCCCGAGCACCCCGAGCACCCCCGGCTGGGGCTGTGCAGAGCAGGGTGCACCCATGGGTGCTCTCTGCACCCCGAGCACCCCAATCTGGGGCTGCGCAAAGCAGGATGCACCCATGGGTGCTCCCTGCACCCCGAGCACCCCAGTCTGGGGCTGCGCAAAGCAAGATGCACCCATGGGTGCTCTCTGCACCCCGAGCACCCCAATCTGGGGCTGCGCAAAGCAGGATGCACCCATGGGTGCTCCCTGCACCCTGAGCGCCCCAGTCTGGGGCTGCGCAGAGCAGGGTGCACCCCAGGGTGCCCGCTGCAGCGTGCGCAGCGCAGGGCGCACATGCCCGTGCCCTGCAGGTGCGTGCAGCGGGGCAGGGCGCGCGGGCACCTACCCGGCTGGCAGGCGCCCTGCAGGCACTGCACGTGCGGCCAGAGGTCGGCGCAGCTGCGCGGGCAGCGGTTGGCGCAGGCGGCGGCGGGCACCATG